TCGCCTATTCCCCCCAACAGACCCCAGTGTGTAGTGCTCCCCTCCCTGTGTCCATGTGTTCTCATTGTTCAACACCTGCCTATGAGTGAGAACATGCGGTATTTCATTTTCTGTTCTTGTGTTAGTTTGCTGAGAATGATGCTCTCCAGGTTCATCCATGTCTCTACAAAGGACACGAACTTATCGTCTTTGATAGCTGCATAATATTCCATGGTGTATATGTGCCACATTTTCCCTGTCCAGTCTATCATCAATGGGCATTTGGGTTGTTTCCAGGTCTTTGCTATTGTAAACAGTGCTGCAATGAACATTCGTGTGCATGTGTCCTTATAGTAGAACGATTTATAATCCTTTGGATATATACTCAGTAATGGGATTGCTGGGTCAAATGGAATTTCTATTTCTAGGTCCTTGAGGAATCGCCACACTGTCTTCCACAATGGTTGAACTAATTTACACTCCCACCAGCAGTGTAACAGTGTTCCTATTTCTCCACATCCTCTCCAGCATCTGTTGTCTCCAGATTTTTTTTTTTAATTTTTTATTGGATTTTAGGTTTTGGGGTACATGAGCAGAGCATGCAAGACAGTTGCGTAGGTACACACATGGCAGTGTGCTTTGCTTTCCTTCTCCCCTTCACCCACATTTGGCATTTCTCCCCAGGCTATCCCTCCCCACCTCCCCCTCCCACTGGCCCTCCCCTTTTCCCCCCAATAGACCCCAGTGTTTAGTACTCCCCTTTCTGTGTCCATGTGTTCTCATTTTTCATCACCCGCCTATGAGTGAGAATATGCGGTGTTTCATTTTCTGTTCTTGTGTCAGTTTGCTGAGGATGATGTTCTCCAGATTCATCCATGTCCCGACAAACGACACAAACTCATCATTTCTGATTGTTGCATAATATTCCATGGTGTATATGTGCCACATTTTTCCAATCCAGTCTATTATCAATGGGCATTTGGGTTGATTCCAGGTCTTTGCTATTGTAAACAGTGCTGCAATGAACATTCGTGTACATGTGTCCTTATAGTAGAACGATTTATAGTCTTTTGGATATGTACCCAGTAATGGGATTGCTGGGTCAAATGGAATTTCTATTTCTAAGGCCTTGAGGAATTGCCACACTGTCTTCCACAGTGATTGAACTAATTTACACTCCCACCAACAGTGTAAAAGTGTTCCTTTTTCTCCACATCCTCTCCAGCATCTGTTGTCTCCAGATTTTTTAATGATCGCCATTGTAACTGGCATGAGATCATATCTCAATGTAGTTTTGATTTGCATTTCTCTGATGACCAGTGATGATGAGCATTTTTTCATAGGTTTGTTGGCTTCATGTATGTCTTCCTTTGCCCACTTTTGACTGGGCTTGTTTGTTTTGTTCTTGTAAATCTGTTTGAGTTCTTTGTAAATTCTGGATATAAGCCCTTTGTCAGATGGGTAAACTGCAAAAATTTTTTCCCATTCTGTTTGGTTGCTGATTCATGCTAATGACTGTTTCTTTTGCCATGCAGAAGCTGTGGAGTTTGATTAGGTCCCATTTGTCTATTTTGGCTTTTGTTGCCAATGCTTTTGGTGTTTTGTAGACCCCTACCTCAAACCATATACAAAAATCAACTCAAGATGGATTAAAGACTTAAACTTAAAAGACCCAAAACTATAAAACTAGTAAAAGAAAACATAGGGAAAATTCTTCTGGAGATTGGCCTTGGTGAAGATTTTATGGCTAAGGCTTCAAAAGCACAGACAACTAAAACAAAAAGAGACAAAAAGGACTATATTAAGCCAAAAATCTCTGCACAGCAAAGGAAAGAATTAGTTGAGTGGAGAGATAACCTGTTGTATGTGTAAAAATATGTTCAAATTGTTCATCTGATGAGGGATTAATATTCAGAATATACCAGAAACTCAAACAAGTCAAGAATAATAAAACAAATAATCCCATTAAAAAGTCAGCAAAGGACATAAATGGACAATTCTCAAAAGAAGACGTGCAAATGACCAACTGGTATATGAAAAAAATGCTCAACATCACTAAACATCAGGGAAATACAAATCAAAATCGCAATGAGATACCATCTTACTCCAGTTTGAATGGCTAGTATTAAAAGACCAAAAAAAAAAAGTCACAGATGCTGGCAAGGATGTGGAGAAAAGAGAGCTCTTATACACCTTTGTGGGAATGGAAATTAGTACAAACACTCTAAAAAACAGTATAAAGATTTCTCAAAAAAAAAAACACTAAAAATGTAACTACCATATGATCTGGCAATTCCACTACTGAGTGTCTATCCAAAGGGAAAGAAATCTGCATGCCAAAAGGATACCTGTACTCTCATGTTTATCACAGCCCTATTCACAGTGGCAAAGATGTGGAATAAATCTAGGTGTCCATCAGTGGATGAGTGGAAAAAGAAAATGTGGTATATATACACCATGGAATACTATTTGGCCATAAAAATGCTGCAATCCATGTTGCAGCAACATGGATGGAATTCGAGGTGATTGTGTCAAGTGAAATGAGCCAGGTACAGCAAGGCAAATATTTCATGTTCTCATTCATGTGTAAGAGCGAAAAAAAGGTTTATCTCATGGAGGAAGAGAATGGAATAATAGATACTAGAGCCTGGAAGGGTGTGTTGGTAGGAGGTGATAAAGAGAAGTTGGTTAATAGGTACAAACATACAGGTAGATGGAAGGGATAAGTTCTAATGTTTGATGGCAAAGTAAGGTGACTATAGTTAACATCAAATGTACTGTGTATTCCAAAATATCTGGGAGAGAGAATTTGTTATGCTACCAACAGATAGAAATGATAAATACTTGAAGAGATGGATACCCCAAATGCCCTTACTTGATTATTACATAGTCCAGGCATGTAAAAAATATCACATGTACCCCATAAACATGTACAAAATTATCAATTAAAAAAATCAAGCCATGTCCTGAATGGACCTGGGGGACATTTTGCTAAGTGAAATGAGCCAGACACAGAAAGGCAAATACTGCATTGATCTCACTTCTATGTGGAGTCTAAAAACATTGAACTCATAGAAGCAGAGAAGAGAATGGTGGCTGCCAAGGCTTGGAATTGTGGGGGGAGATGTTGGTCAAAGAATACAAAATTTCAGTTAGAAAGGAGAAACAACTTCAACGTATCTGTTGTTCAACATGTTACCTACAGCTAGTAACTAACTGTGCAATCTACGTGCCCATGAGGTACTAAATCTACTGCTAAAAGAGTAGATTTAAGTGTTCTCACCATATACCAAAAAAAATGTAATATAATCAGCTCAATTCAGCCATTTCACAACGTATACACATTTCATGACATGATGTTGTACATGACACAATTTTTATTTATCAATGAAAAATGAATTAATTTAAAAAATTGGGCTATTTCCCACTGTGGCTTAGAGTCTACACCCAGCCCTCCTTCCTGACTGCCCTACTGCTGCCAGCTGCTGATTGCACCCTCAGAGTCTCAGCCTTCTTCACCGAGTTTTGCTGGCTCACTCCTCATCTCAGTTCATTCACTCTCCTTACCAATGTCTACTGCCGTGTGCTGCAAGGCCTGACATTCCATGTGCTACCTTGGCATAGTTTAACCTCACAGGGCATTAAAGTCCTAGCCACAATTTTCCCTGCTCGCATCAGATATGCTCCCTACCAAGAGGGAAAAGCTCACCCAGCTATATCCCCTATCAGCCGTATCAGCTGCTTATCCCCTGGTATTCAACCAAAAAGACTGATTCTCTACCAGCTGGTAGAGCCACTGTTTGATCTTGAACTGCAGGAAAATAGTAACCAACACCGGAGTATCCAGGCAACTTTCCCACCAAGAGTGCACCCAGGAGGCCCTTCTACCTGGATGTCCTCTAACCCTCCCCCCCCAACCTACAGTCAGTGGCATACTCTGAGAAGAGGTTTGTGGCTCTATTTGGGCAATGCTGAATAAGAGTGGGGAAAGCAAAGGTGACAGGGACAGGGAGGAGAGTTAAATGGACATAGAGGAGTTAAATTTTCTACCTCATACAGATCCTGGCTAAGGGGAGAGAGAATAACAACCCCTTAGATATAGGTGGGGAAGGGGACACAGGAAGGGGCCTTGGGGAATGCTGGACAGGTTGTGAGAACACAGAGAATTGGGGAGGAGAGGTGGCGGGGACAGAAAGACTGCTTGCAGGTTTATTTTGCGGCTCACATTAAAAGACAAGAGAAATGCTTGGAATATGTGATGGTTTTAATGGTTCCTTTTATGTTAATTTCATCTTATTCCCAACTTAAACTTGCCCATATCCATCATGGCTCTGACTTCATTGCTCTCCCTGTCCCCTCTTCAGCTTAAGCTCTCACTTTTCTGTCACCAATTTGCACACAGTTCCCATTTCAGGTTTCCTGGAGTATCTGACTTGCTCAGGATATTTCCTGGGGACAGAGCTTTTTCAATGGGAGCCATCTCATACGTCTTGTTGGACTATTGGGTGGCTTCACCTCAGGAAAATTAATTCTCTTTGATTGGCTGTGGCCTGAAGGTTTGTTTGACAAGCCAAAAAAAAAAAAAAGCCACCAGTGCATTCTAGTTTCCTGGGGACAATAAGCAGAGCAATTGCCTCTAATACGCTCTGTGGCCATGATATCTGCAATGTTAAAACACACCCCAAACCCCTAGCCCAGCTGCTGGTCTGCTCTTAAACAATGTCTTTTCACTAGGACAAGCATTAGGTTTTAGAGGGGAACACCAGGGCTGTCTCTCCAAAATGGCTAGGGAGAAGAGTCTTTGGTCCTTGAATGCCCAGTACTACATCACTTCAACTTCACGGTGATTTTCAGATTGATGGTGAGGGAGATCTGGTGTGTAGCATGATCTCACCCTCTCCCCTGAGTCTGAGCACCCCTGCACAGCGTGTTAGGATGAACAGAAATCCCTTCCAGTGTAACCCAAGAACGCCCGGTCAGCAAACACACATCCAACCCAAAGGAATGAAGTGACAGACTCTGTTTTAATGGCTCAAACATGGGATGACTTTATTGTTCTGATTATGTTTATTTTGGGCAGGCCTCAGCACATAAGCCCCACGATTTTTTGTCCAAGGCCATTTTCACCCTGGAGTTGCTTTATGACGGCATCCATATCCACCTTGACAGGTCGATGTCATTTCTGGGCCTGCCCCGTTGTCTGTCGATTAAAAAGATCAGCACGTTTTTGGTGGGCTTCTTGCATTTGAAGGCTTTGTCAGGCTCCTTGATGTTCAGTGTGCTCTCACTGGGAGCGGCTTTAGGGAGTTCTTTATCCATGATGCGGTGGCTCCAAACAAACTCAGGAAGACAGCTTAACTAAGAAAGCCTGAAAAGGATAATGATTTTCAGGTAATCAAGTGGACCTGGGACCTCTTCCTCACTTGCCACACACCCACACAACCACATATCGCATGCGCGCGCACACACACACACGCATACTCAGCCACCAGCAGTAGTCACAGCTACCAACAGTAGTACAGCAGTAGTCTTTAGTGAGGATTCTTATAGCCACGCTAATTTTAACTGGATTTTATGTTGTTCTTTTGCAGAGCTGCCTTCTTCTCACCTCTGCCTCCTTTGAAAATCATTGCTGAAGCAGGTATAGATCTTACTCCAACCCCCCATGGAAGAAATAAACTGTACATTCTCAAATGCTGCCTAGCTTCTGTTTCTGAGGCCCATCCTGCTGAGTTTCCATCCTGGGACCGTAATATCAGTGATTTAAAGATTACACTCACCCTGTCTCACCTCAAAAAGTGACCCTGTCTCACCTCGAAAAGTGCTGGGTGGTATTTTATTTGAATCTGGCACATTGCCAAGGCCAGGGGTGGATGCCCACTGTGTTCTCACTTTTGGGCTCCCAAGCAAGATTAAAGGACTTGCCCAAGGTAACAGAGAGGTGAGACTGGAACTGGGAAAACCTGTATCTGAAGCCTTGTGCTCCTACACACTCCTCTATAGTGTCTCTGTATCACTTTGAACAAATGACTCTCCCACACCCTCCCCCAATTACCAAACGGTTGGGGTTTAACAGATAGATTGGTTAGGTAATGGCACAGAAAGACGCTGTATAATCTTGGTATATCAGGATATTTTACCTGTCAGACCACTCAGATTTCTTTTGAAGAAAAATCTGGACCGGAGGGTAAACAGTGAGAGGAAACACGACCTCCTTCCTTGGCACACTCTCTCTCTTTGCCTGAGTCCCAGAGCCTGATCAGTTCAGAACCAAGTGAAGTCATGGTTACTATGGTGACTCATAATAGCCCTCAGAACCTAGTGCCAACTCTCCTCAAGATTCAAACGCTGGCCACCATCACCTGGGTTCTTCCTGGTTCAGGGCTCAATAGGGTGAGGGAAGTTGCTGGGTGAGGAAGCAGGTACATCCTGTGGCTGAGTGCCATCTGCATATCTCTTTCCTAGATAAAACACTCAGCTCTCCTGGCCTCAGAGCTTGTCCCTGGCTTATGCAAAAGCCCTTCATTCCTTCATTAAAATTCCTTCTTTGTGTAGATTAACAGCACCCACTGCATCTAGCCAGGTTCCCTGGGTAGTGATCACCAACTTTGTCTGCCATGTTCCAATCAGATTAGTCTGAGGTCGAATTTCTCACTTGCTTGTCAATCTCTGCATCTTGCCTTGGTCATGACTCTGCAATTACTCCCTCTATAATATACAGTTCATGTAAATGGAGTGTTTAGTTGCAGAAATTAAACACTGCAGTTAAACACTGCTGTGTCTTGCATACCTGTGTAACCCCCTCCCAAATCTCAGAACAGTGGAACTCCACACTTTTATTTTGTGGACCTGGGATGCAGGTGGGCTTTTAATGTCTTGGAAAATCTTACGCTAAAACTGGACCAGTTCATTGAGACATACACCCATGTCTCAAGCCATATTCCCTTCCAAGTATCTGATCTACAATAACTATATTGTTACCATTTAAGTGTCACCCAGGTGGGTATTGTCTAGATGCAGGACATGGATTTTCCAGGCTGTCAGAGGGATAACAGTGAGGACAGCGCTTTGTGTTTTTTATAGTGTGGCTTTCATGAGGAACTAAAATGACTATTATGAGATGTGGCTTGCCTCCATACTGGCTGCCCATTCAGTCTTATGTAAGAACTGAGGAAATTGAGATTCCTGTAAAACAACCCAGGTCACACACTCCCTTTCTTGAGTGGCAGGTAAGAAAGGCTCAGTCCTCCAGGTTTTCTCCTGGCCACATAGAACCATGTGAAGACCCTGAGGCCATGTTTATTGTCCTAAAAAATTTGGAGAGGGAAGATTAATTATTGGTGTATTTTATTAACAAAGAAACTGGAAAACCATCTTTCTCTTAAGGAACTGACATCCTAGAAAACCAAGGCAATCACCTAGGAAGGAGGCCAGGAGAGGCTGATTGATAGGAGTTAAATGCATAAAAGCTTTGCATACTAGGCCAGACACAGTGGCTCATGCCTATATTCCCAGCACTTTGGAAGGCTGAGTGGGGGTGGATTTCTTGAGTCCAGGAGTTCAAGACCAGTCTGGGCAACACAGGGAGACCCATCTCTACAATAAAAATAAATGAATAAATAAATAAATTTAAAATGTACATAGTCTTCCTTAAATAGGGAATATCATAGAAATAAAATGTCTTATTTACATTGGTTGCAAACGTTATGAAACACCTAGTAAAATTATGAAGACCAGTATAAGGAAAACACACATACAAATTTTTATGAGCTTCCAGTTTGAATATTCACATAACATTTAAAAATACCATATTTCTTTGAAAAGGAAGATAAGTTTTTGCAGTGGCATCAATTCTCCTCTAAATAAATCAGTAAAGCCAGTGCAATCCCTATTATAATTTATACCATAATTTTGAGTTATGTGTGACTGGAAGAACAGATTATATTGCCAAAAAAATGTGAAGGATTATGCAAGACGGGGAGCTTGTCATTCTGGACTCAAAACTTACTCTGTAGTATTACCCAATAAAACAGGAATTGATAGACATGTCCATGGGCCAACAAAGATATTCTAGAAATATATTCATGCATATGTGGTACTCAAATAAATGATATAGCTGGCATTTAAAATCACAAGTTGCCATAAAGCTGACTTTTATGATCATGTGTGTGTGTGTGTGTGTGTGTGTGTGTGTGTGTGTCGGTGTTAGGAAATGGAAGTGCAGCGGGGCTTCTAGGGCAATTTGGTGCTTCTCCTTCAGGTAATCCTGGATTCCATCGACTTTCACAGGTCTGTCTGCTGTGCTGTCTTCCTAAAGCCATCTTTGGAGTCAAGCAGTCAGGGCTCAGGGACACTCTGAAGTCTATCCCAGCACACCTGCGTGGAGCATTAGGAGGAAGGCAGATTAATCCGTGCTGAGCATTTTACTCAGTAGACAGCTTGGGAATCATAGAAATAATGCAAATCTGACAGAATTACTATGGACACTGATGCAAGTCATACCAGGGTGGAGTTGGCCTTTGTCAACACATCATGCCATTAACCTGCCTCTGTCCCACAGGGAGCTTAGAAAATTCAGGAAAATGGTGTGGATCAATAAATGCTTCCCCCGATGCAACCATTACAAATGGAAGCTGTTTTCTCACTGCTTTTGGTTGGATGTGGCTTTTGTTCATGTGGTACCTTAACTTCTCACCTGTTTCTGTGCTACCTGAGGCCACAGCAGATGAACTCTACCTACTCCCCCTTGAGAGGGTGCTCACTAACATTGGACAGTCTGGGGGTGTTGGAGTCACGAGGGGCCCTGTTTGAGAAGCTGGAAGGACAGCTTAGTGGACATGTGCAGAGGCTCTGCAGCCCTAAATTGCTAGGGGGAGGGGGCTTTAAAGAGCCCACTTAAAGGTTTTGATTTGTCTCCCTTGAAGTTTGGGGGAGGGAATGGGTAGAGGTTGTAATCAAATAAATTTAAAATGAGAGTGGCTTGAAGAGTGGGGTGGGAATTCTCCCAAGAGATATACTTCTTCTATTGAGAAAAAGAGAGAGGGAGCTAATGAGGTAACCAGAAATGACTAGGAAAGAAAGAATCGTCTTTCAGCTGTTGGTGCAAAATAACTTTGAGCCTACAATTCTACTTCTAGCCAGACATTCAAGTGTGAAGGTAAATTAGCATACGATGTGTTCAAGTGTGGGTTCCCTGGAAATAGACCCTGAGATACACTTATGAGTAGAAGGTGCTTACTTGGGAAGGAGTCCCAGGTAGCACTGCTAGGGGTGTTGTCTGAAGTACAAGGAATGCAGCCTATTAAGTTGGAGGAATAATCTAACAGGTTACCATTGTGGGCAATTTGAGCTAATTCCCTGGGGGATCCTATGGGAGACTGTTGAACACACACCTCACTTCATCCCAAGGGTAGGATGAGAAGTCTTGAGGGTATTTAGCCACCAAATACCCAGCCATACTTGTTAGAGGACTTCCACCAGGGATGATATAAATCTGTATTACCTCCAGTTGGCCTTGGGTCATGTCCATTATGCTCTAAGGGTAAGACAAAAAGCCACCAAGGCAGAGTCATGGTGACTGCCCTAGGCAGCCCTGTAGATGCAAAGGTGAGAAGTAGCTCTGCAAGGCCAGAGTCAAAATACATGTCAGTGTCAGAATGTTTTTGGCACTGTCTGTTCCTTAAATAGGTCAATACTCACTGTGAAAATCTTCACTGAACTGGAGCTACATTTCCTCTCTGTAGATAGCATGTTTTAAATGTTTTGCCAATTATCAATTTTAATTGGAAACCAGATGTAGGAACTCTGTCCCAGAGAGTTGTAAGATGAGTGGTTAGCTATCAAAGGAACATTTGCATTGTAGGCATCAAAATCTTCCCCCTGAGGAAAAGAGAGCTGGGTTTTTGTAGTGCATCCTGCCTGCAGAGGTGCCATGCTGGGTGTTGGGCACAGGTCTCGCCCTGGGATTTCATGGAGATCTTGGGCTGCATTTGTCAGGAACTCTATTCTTGCCATTGAGGCTAGAGGGGCCCAAGCTGCACTGTCTCACCGGTTGCTGAGGGGTTCCTCAGCACATGCAATACAAAGAACCTCCTCCTCTCCAGGTCTCCCATTGCAGCTGGAACTTTATTCACGTCCTATCATTACCTTCTCTATGGAATGGGATGAGTTGCTGGTTAGTTTGCTCCCAGTCACCTATGCCCATCCAGGCCCACACTCAGTACACTGTCTACATACTGGGTGCCCCTAGCCCCAGGGATTCTTAGAAATGCTGTTCTGGGTGATGACTCCATTTCAGCACTGACACAGCTACTGGAAGCCACAGATGGCCTTCTCAAGCTTTTATTGGGAGTCAAGTAATGAATCCTGTTTGTTGCAGTTCACTTGGGACTGACAATGCCCAGCTCCACTGATGTTGCTTTTTGTTTTTCTTCTGTCTTCTGTATTACAAATCAGTGACTATTGATGAAATGCCGAGAAGCTACAACTTCCGGCTGCTCTCTTTTAGCATTATGTTATATGATTGGGGCCTCCTGTTCTATTTAAGGTGCCCAGCTGCTTATCCTCTCGATTTACTTTAAAAGAGTTGAATTAGATGAAGTATAGTCCCTGTTTACAGCAATGCAGGCTATAGGGGCTTGGAAAGAGGCTATACTTAAATATATTCCTGGGAAACTTTTATACTTACATATATATATATATATATCACTGAGTATAGGCACCTAACCATTGCTGGTGGACATCTGGGAACCAACAATTAATCTGCTCCAGCTTCACAGCTGGCTAGCCCTTCCCTGACCTATGCAAAACTTTGCACCACACTACCACATTGCACCCCCTCCCTTTTGTGATTTAGATTACAACTGACCACCATTAATGTTTAAACAGAGATCACAAGAGTAATGGAATGCACTCTTTGTGGCAATAAGATACTAAATTATAAACAAGGCCTAAGGCCATGCCACTCAAGGGTTAAGTCCCACTCTGCTACATTTAAAGAATAAAGTATGTTCTAACTGCCACAAAACTTTTCTGTCTCTGTAGCAGCTAAACAAGTATTGGCCTAGAGATAAGCAATATTGAAAAAATTGCAGCTCACACACTTGCTGACTTACTGACCTCCACTCACCTGTCCCATAAGCCATTACTACAGCTTTAACTGTACAAGAGACTGATTTCAATAACTTGCTCCCGATAAGAGCCACTGAATATGAACTGATTCTGGCCAGTTTACAGAGGCTGGACACTGAATGCCTTCATATCCTTGCTTTACCTTTGATGTATAGGG